GTGTGGGTGTGGATGTGAGTGAGGGTCTACGTGTGGGTGTGGGTGTGAGTGAGGCTCTATGTGTGAATGTGTGTGAGGGTCTGGGTGTGGTGGATGTGGGTGAGGGCCTGAATCTGGGTGTCTATCATCTCACAACCTACCCGCACCCATCTATCTGAGTTGGTAACCATATCAGTTAGTAACCATCTGAGTTGGTAACCATGTCAGTTGGCGCCCATCTAAGATGGCAACCAACTGATATGGGAGACATCTGACTTGGAATGCCGCCCACTTGAAGATCAATTGATTTGGTATCATAGACTAATTATCCAATACACAATTTTTGCCTGTAGGATCAATTTGGTAAATTTCATTTTTCGGCGAACTTCTTTCGGAGAAAATCAGTTTTCGGTGAAATGCGTCTTCGGCGAAGGTGGACTAAATCGAACTTTCACGTTCATTCGAGACAACGTTGATACGATTATTTACATAGAGTATTTTTCGACTCGATTTTGAGGATACGATCAATCATATTTACTCGTTTTCCACTCTAGAATATTATATGGATTGATATTCATTATCTTATTGATAGACAAATAATAGAAACGGCAACTAAATTTGAGATCTTAATTTAATGAAACAAAGACGAATAATTAAACAGAATCAGACTATGGTCTCTAACTCCATCCTATTCTTAGATACGTTCCTTCTTTTAATGGCGATCAACAATTACTACTTGAATGAAACTTGATCTACTCTACTCTCAACAAAAGAAACAAACTGTTCGAAGTTCTTTCATTGAGTTATTGAATATTAATAAGTTTTAAGTTTTTTCAAAATCTCTTTTGGATCATTAGTACACAACATTGCTTGCAAAATTTGTTTGTCTCGTTGAATTTCTTTTGTACGAATCTGAAGTGAGAGCCATAACTTATCAACATATTCTTCATATTTCTTCAGCATCTTTTGAATATCACCGTTCATTTGTTTAAAAAGATAAGCAAAATAAATTGCGGACTCGAAGCCTATACTAATCGATTGAAAATAAGGTCCACCCATCGCTGCATCACCCATCAAGACCCAATGTTGATTGAGTTCGTTATCACTTGCGGTGTACGTTAGATTTCGAGCACGATACACTTGTAAAGGAATACAAATAAATTTCATTGTATCAAAACGAATTTTACTCAAATTTTCAGTTGAAAGATTATTTAAAAACGTATTGAGATCGTCATAAATTTGCTTTTGATTTTGTTTCAAATAATCATATGTTATGCGTCCTACTTGAGACAATTGTTGAAATAGCGGCTCCTCGATTGTAATTAAGCATGTAACATGTGTTTCTCTCTGTTGATTGATCGAATAAGTATCACCGATGGCTGGAATAATTCGGAACTTTCTTGTGTTCTGATTCTTATAATATTTGCATAATGCATTGCATACATAGTTTTCTTCATATATAAATGTGCATATTAGAACGTATTCAATGAATCGATCGATGCGATTTTTTGGTGAAATATGATCACGTAATACAGAATGATAACCTGTGCAATCGACTACAACCGTGTTCGAATGTGTTTTGAGTACATTCGAAATTGTATCAGTATCGTAAACATTAGTATAATGTATTACACCTCCCAATGAAACATATTCTTTTAGGAGTCTTTCCTGAATGTCTTGAAGTGGTATAAATCTTTCAGACCAGTTAGCAATCGTTTCAAACAGGTTTGGTTTAATACATCCAATAGCATTTTCTCGTTCTTTGAGTTGGCTTTCAGAAAACAAATAAATGTCATCAATGACTGTATCATATGATAGAATTCGCCGTAATAGTTTAACACATCGTGTTCGTGATATATCTTTTCGTATTTCTTTAACAGTAACGCGTACACCTTGATCTCGTAGTAGGACACCTTTAATAATCAAGCCATTAGAACATTAAAAAGAAAAACTTCAGAAAAAAGATTAGTTTCTTACCAAGTAAAAGTCCTACCGGACCGCCACCTATAATAAGCACATCTTGTATGTTGTTTTGACTCATTTTCCTAGAATTAATCGAAAAAGAGAACAAAATATTTGAGAGTGGGTGTGGGTGTCGGGGATTATGATAATAATCACAACCACACCACCCTCACTAAGGAATCACCGTAATAGATTTTTCATAATTCAGTATTCTTAAGAATAACACAAAATCTTAATGTATGATTGTCTATATGCCTCGATTCTTCTGAGTATTTTCATTATATATATAATCACTATTAAAAGTAATTTCTTTGGCTTTTTTCCTGTATAGTGGCCAAATTTAGTCAATTCTGAGCTTTTGAAGAGTTCAGAACTCATAAATCAACCAAAAAGACACCTACGGGTCATAATTAAATAAAATCGAGATTTCCCACTCTCCCCAATAAGACTTTCGCCAACTGGACATTCGCCAATGGTGAAAGTCTGAAAATATACTGGCGAAAGTACCATGGACTTTGGCCAATTGACGAAAGTCCATAGAGTGTGTTGGCGAAAGTACAGTGGATTCTTGCCAATTGGTGAAAGTCCATTGACTGTGTTGGCGAAAGTCCATTGTACTTTCGCCATTGGCGAGAGTGCCAGTTGCCGAAAATCTTATTGGCGAGAGTATGGTAAGCCATAAAATCCTGTAAACTCTCATAACAGAACATATCTAACAAACTCACGGAACTCTCGGAGCTCAAGAACTTCACCGAACTGACATAAGTCACGAAAGTGAACAACTACCTAGTTTGCGAGTTGTAAGAATATCAGAAAGTCATGAAGTTAAAGGAACTATGAAACTTTGAGAACTTTTAAAATTAAAGGAATTTGTATGACAATTGAAAGTCTCGAACACAGACATCGCATAGATCACAAGAGCGTTAGGAAAGCTGTGAATCAAAAAAATGAAAATTAGGCAGACAATTCATCTAGAGGATGTGGTGGCGACAACAGAGTGGGTGAATATGTATTACTCATATCCATACACTGTTAGATTTCTTGAGTTTCGTGCATTCGGTCGATTCTAATTGATTTATAGGTCCATAAATAATCAAGAGTTTCGAATTCACAGAGCTTCGCACATCTCTTTTTCCCAATGATTTAAATGTAAAACTTACCCGAGTGATATTGTTTAAATCGAATGATTTGAAAAAATTCTAATAGTTTGTTTAATGCGAATGGTACTGTGTGTGTGACTAAACGTTCTTTTCGCGGAATGATTTATTTCGTTTATTTTATAAAGTAACAACAGTTGCAGTTCTTTTTTCTCCAATAACGCATTTTATTATGAAAGAATGTCTCAAGATCGAGAAAAAAACCCATGCAACGTCCACAATACATAAGAAATGTTATTGGAAAGAAAAAGAAAAAAAATTCATATGAAGTGAAATGAATTTATGTGCTGTACAATTAAACACTGTTGACATAAAACTGTATTCTTCTTAATGGAAAAGTAATATCACTTCGAAAAACAAACGAAGAGAGTCTGATGAAACAGGAAATTATATTATTCATCTAAATGTATTAGTAGACAGAACATTTCGTCGACATCATATTAAGGATGAGAATATCTAGTATATCCTTAATGCACATGTACATTCTCCTTCAGTTTAGTCAAACCCCGCTCTACAAAGCATTTTTTCGGTGAAATACTTTCTTATAAAAACAAATTATCGGTAAAGTCTGTTGAACAACTTATATTTGAACGATGAAGATATTATTGTGAAGAAAGAATTTGTCTGAATCAATGAATTATTGTAAAAAGTAAGTTTTATTTGATTTTTCGATGAATTAAATTTTGATTGTGTTAGAAAAAGAGAATGAGGGTGAAAAGAAATCTTTTGATAAATACCAATTAGATTTTCATTATTTTGAATTTAATCAGTTTTCTTCTTTTTTTCCTCATTAAATTCAACGATTTTATTTGAAGATCAATCAATTTAATTATCAATAATAACAAAAATTAAATGTTGAAAATAAACGAAATATTTATTCACAAACAAATTTGTCATTGTAATTAAATTTCATTTTTTTCTTCTTCTTCTTCTTTTTCAATATTAATAAAAAGAATTTTATTATTAAACCTTATTGAATAAAAATTTGTTAAATAAAATATTTGATTTAATTTGTCTGAATTCTGTGAAGAATTAAATCTATAAACAATAAAATAAAGGTCAATTGTCAAATAAATGAACATTCAAAAAAGGTCCAATTAAAAAAATTTGATTTTTAATTTATTTTAAAAGATAAAGAAAAACAAAATATTCGAATAAATTCTTTCTAATTACTCATGTATATCAACAAAACAAGAGAATATAATGTTTTCTTCTCTCATTCGTTCTCCAGTTAAATCTATGAGTCATTTTTGTTATGTTTTATCGATAATAAATGGAAATATTATTTTAATCAAAAGGATAAACATTGCAGAAATCAATTTTATTTATAGAGAAATCATTTGAAATTAAAAGAATTTCTAAATTTTATAATTTTAAAATGCAGAATCACTTAATATTATTTGATTTAACTTTGTGAATCTTCTTCTATGAGATGTAGATGAATAAAGAAATTATTTATTATTAAATTATTATTTTTCTGATTAATATTGTTGATATTTTTATTTATTTTTTAAATATAAATATAACAGAATCTTTCCTTTTTTGAGATTGTACAAATATTTAAAATTCTCTTGAGGATGTCGATGTGTGAACTCATCTTTATTTTCACATCTATATCCTCAAGATGGTTTTAGAATATTTTATATTTATTATACAAATTAAATTGAGATTATTCGATAAAGATAAAATTCTAGAGAGATTAATAATTTTCTTTTAAAATAATAAATGTTTTATCTTATAATTAAAAAAATCATTGAATTAAATAATATTTTTATTTTAATTATCGATGAAATCTTTCGAAGGTCTACATCGAAGTTAAATAACTGATCATTGTCTTATCACAATGATAAAAGAAAATGTTCTGAATTTGATGATCTATAATTGCTTAGAATTCTGAATTATTATTACCAACCAATCAAGAAGATTTCTTCAATCTCAATAATTTTATTTTTAGATACATTGAGTTTTCTATTGTCTCTAAAAAGAAATCTATTATTGTCACATTTTTATGAATTTATTGTTGATATGAACAGTTTATTGACACAAACTGACCGAGATAAAAGATGTTTTTTGAATTGAAATCAAGACGATAATAATTAAAATAAAGAGAAAACCTTAAGCATGTGGGTGGGCAGGTGTGGATGGGAATGAGAATATAACACTCAACCACACCCATACCCACACTCTCAAGAAACTGAGCATTCCTCCCCCTGGTCTTTAGGCTCGAGCAAAAGTATCGAGGACTCTCGTAACATGGATTTCTAGGAAGAGCTCTGCCAGGAAAATGGATGTCAAACTTTTTCTCAAGGCAGATACTCAACTATGTATTCTAGTGAGATTTTATAAAAAGTGCTTAACTTTTCTCTAGAGCAAAAGCTTTGGGGCATGCTAGGCGATGGATCTAGGTGTTCTCTATTGTCATCAGGAGTATTGGTTCGATCGCTCGTTGTCGCACAAAACGGGACTGACCGACATTTTGGTAGGAAATCACATAATTCTGAGCAAGATTCATTTTTTTTTCTGAGATTTTCCAAGTTCCCATAGGTAGAATGAAGCTTTTGAAGGAATTGACATGTAGAAATCGCCTTTGTTCCAGGATATTCCGTCCAGATCTCCAGAAAACCGAAAAAATCGACTCGTATTTGACTTTTTATGCAGGAAAGGGTCAACCGATGGAGCTGAAATTTTCAGTTGATACTATTCTTACTGCTACTAAAAACATATAAAAATATCAGCTGAATCAGCGATGGGTCACTACCAGCACCATCTGGTTTTCTCGGACTCACTCTTAAGCAAGTTTGAAACGTGTCATGACTGCTTGCCTCACTCTCGAGAGCAAAAGTAATTCGAAAATTATTCTCTGCCATTCCTGCTCTACAATTGGGTTTTTTCTCAGTGTATTTGTTTGTGTGCGCTCTTGAGACATCGTTTTCTTCCATTTCTGCTCTGAAATCGGTTTTTTTCTCAGTGTATTTATTTGTACACGCTCTTCAAAGTCGACGCAGTTCTCACACAGCAAGTGTACATTTGCCGCATGTATATAAATAGAAGCTCGGCATTTTATTCGGGTGTGGGTGTGGGTGGGTGTGCGGTGTGGATGGGTGTGGGTGTGGGTGTGGGTGTCCGGTGTGGATGGGTGTTGGTGGGTGTGGGTGTGGGTGGGTGTGGGTGTGGGTGTGCGGTGTGGATAGGTGTGCGGTTTGGATGGGTG